TAGCAGTGGAGAGTGAGAAAAAATCATTTTTGATAGCATCTGTGGAGGTGCAGTCCCTTGGACAGTCCCTTATATGATCAGATCTTTAAAAACTTTCTTACTTCCTTCCATGTCCATCTCTCATATCTACAGGGAAGGGAATCAAAGTGCAGACACTTTAGCTACCCATGGCCACTTCCATCAGGAACATTTTGAATTTCTTTATTTTCTAATGGCTCTCTTCCTACTGCCTCTCTTGCCTAAATAGGTCAGTCCACCGCGTGTCTGTCTTCCAGTTCCTTGACTCCCAAACCTTGGGTCATTGATTCTGCCTCCGCTTAGGTTAGATGTGCTTCCTTAAATATCGGGTTGCCAAGGGTTGTTTCCGGAGGAAATGGGATTAGAACCCATGATTTAGCAGTTGGTTGAGCGGTCGTGGCGGACAAACACAAACAGCAAGCAAAGTCTTGGCTCGCTCTCATTGGGAGGCTGTTCAACCAGACTGATGAAGTTGAGTATTGACACAAACAATAAGAGGACGAGCTTCCCTTCTACTACCGAAAAGAGGAGTTTACCACCGCCTACATATTTCACTCACTCTATCCTCTTTGATCCTATTCCAAGGCGATGGATCCTATTTCATTATCCTTGTCTAGAAGGCGATTCGGTAGCACTGAATTACTATAATAAGGTAAAAGATCAAAGAAGTCTCTCCGATCGATCCCATTCCTAGTCTTCGTACTAAACCATGTTGCCTTACCCCTAATCAAGCTTGCTTTCAGCCGAGATCGCCCTTCAATAGTTGCCCTCCTCGCCCCATTCAATAGAAAGTTGACTTACACGCCTTACTTGATGGGAGGCTTCGGGGAAAGAGATCTGAGAGTTTTGACAGTAGTGGGAAGAGTTTTCTCGTATATCGCTCCACACCGAGAAGAGGGATTTGTACCTCCAGCAACAACAAGATGGAACCATAGGCTTCTATGCTGGGAGCATTTCGGGGTCTAGGTCTAACCATATCAACTCCCCGTTTCTGGCATGCTATAGGTATTTAAGTCTCTCGACGGCGGGAATGGGAGATTACCGGTAAGCCAGATGCTTCGCGAACCATATTCTTAAGGCATTTCGTTGCACTTAAATCACCCTCGTGAAGAGGCGCACTCCGATACCATCAATTTCCAATAGCTTTGATAGTAATGGCTGGATTTACTACTACCTCGTCCATTGAGTATAAGAGAGCAAATGATGGTATAGCAATGAACATCGGGATGATACTAGGAAATATGGTCCGAAGAATCTCGATAGTAGTTCCATGAACAATCCTTTGCGGGATTGGATTTTTTTCTTTCTGGAAATGCCATAAAGCGCGAACCAAGATCCTTGAGACGAAAACCAAAATAAGAATGAGGAAGAAAAAGATATCGTGATGTAAGTCTATTATTCCTTGCATCATAGGTGTTGCTGCGTCTTGAGATCCTAATTGCCATGGTTCCGCTGCATCACAAGGAGCAATTATGAGAAATAGCCATTCTAGAACAATCATTTGATCTGTTTCATTCTTTGACTGCTCTGCTCTCCCAAAAAAATGGAGAGACTTGTTCTTGCTCTTCCAATTAAGGAAGACGGATTTCGCCGGTTGGTCCAACCAAGCTGGCACTATAGGGGAATCCAACACCTAGTGATTTACATTTTACACTTTATCTTCTAGACTTTCGGTGGAAAAACCAGCCGAGTCTTCTAGCAGGAGTTCCACGCCTTTTTAAACTGCATAAAAAAAGGAAGTCTTGCGCCGGGCATGATCCCGGTGTCGAGCAGAGTAGAGCGAATTAAAAAATTTGAATGAGAAATCATTTTCAAATGAGACTGTATGGTAGTCCTACGCCAAGTGATCTAGAACTTATGGTAGATGAGGGTTTTTCTTTATCTTCAGGTGGTACCTCTACTACTCTTTTTTCAACCAGGTCGGACGCACAAAGCGCTCCACCTGAGTTAGAGCGGTTATTTGAGAGAATCTGCAATGAATACGCGGAGTGGGTGGTGATAGCCGATAAGCAATTACCCCCCGAATGGGACATGCCTGACCTTGTTCGGGCAGTGATAGGGGAGGAAGCGCTAGCCACCCCAAGCTATATGAGTGTTAGGTGCATTTCATGTACCCATTTTGTAGCTTTATTTCATAAAAGTACATTGCATATAGGCTTAAACTCATGCATTTTGCATGTTTTTCGGGATTTTTCATGAGGCAATTTCATTCACATACTTTTGTGATATTTTAGGGACTTTTGGAGGTAGGATATTGTTGGAGGAGGTAAATAAGAGTTGCGGACAAAATTTCGGGACTTGCGGAGCACCGAGGAGCAAGATATCAAAGAAATGAAGATTTTGGCTTTACAGAGATTTACACGGCCGTGTAAATGCAAGCCTTGCGTTTACACGGGCCGTGTAAACGTAGATTTCTGCACAGTATATTTTTGCGTTTACGCGGGCCGTGTAAATGACAGTGTTAATTTACGCGGGGCGTGTAAACGTAAATGCGGGTTTTAAAGCAGTTTTTCACCATTTTTAAAGGGGGGAACTGACTTTTTACTTTGGGGGGTCGACTTTTGGGCAGAGAGAAGGCGATTTTCAGAGCTTTTGGAAGTAGATTAACACTTGGGAACATTTGATTTCATTTTGTAAGAACTTTAATTTCATTTTCTAGATTTGTGATCTTGTTCTAGTCATGAGTGGCTAGAACCCTAGATTCTCCAACTTTATGTCTTGACTTCTAGTTGTGATTTCAATCATATGACTTGATGTTTTCTTTCAATTTTCTATCTAGTGAATTTGATTTTGTTTCAATCGAATGTTTGATTCTAATTGTGATTCTTATTGGCCATTTGAATTAGGGTTAGATCATTCAAGTTATCTAATTGCAAAATCCGTAATTGTTTTGTAAATTGGACTAGGTAACAAGCACTAAACTGATTTCTATTGAATGAATTTAGTGTAAATCTTATTCACACATTCTTATGCTCCCGAGCTTATGAGGAGTATTGAGTGTTGTTGGGAACATTCACATAAAGTTTAATGCAATCTTTCAACCTAATTCTAAGAGTTTGTTTAGATTAGATTGGTAAGGTTAGGATTAATCAAAGAGCTTGTTTTGGTTAATTATTGTGGTGAATGGGAAGTGTTAGAGCTTGTTAACACTTTCAAGTACCAACTTAGATAGAATTAAACAAATATCTTGTCATCCATGGAATCACATTGCTAATTTGTCTTGCATAGAGTTGGAGTACTTACAAATCTTGAACTTATTTCACTTAATCAATCATTTACTTATTGCTTTATTCTATAGTTTAAATCATTGCTTATAAATTCTCCCCATTCTGTGACCATTTTTGTACCTTACGCAAAAAGGTATAAACACTTGTCCCGTGTCTCTGTGGATCGACCCTACTTACCTTGTACTACGTTTTTAGTTCATAGTAGTAGTGTTTAAGGAGTCATTTGTACCCTTTATTTGTTGGGTTTGACACGCCCTAACAAATTGGCGCCGTTGTCGGGGACACGGTGTTACTAATTGTTTATGCCAAGCATTTTGTGAGCAGGTGCTTTAAAAAAAAAAAAAAAGTCAGGTAGAAGATAAGTTTTCAATTGAAGGAAGTGGCGAGAAGGTTAATGTGTTGTAAAGGCCCACCTACTTAGAACAAAGCACATTCAGGGGCCAAGTCGAGCCAACGACTTAAAACAAGGGCAGCTAACCGGGAGGCAACCCGGGGTTATTTGTTTCCTTTCTTTTAAAATTTTTTAGTCTTTGGTAAATTTCAATTTTTTTTAATGTCCCAAATGGTTTTAAACTTATTTTTTTATGCCTAGAAAATGAATCTCCGGCTCCAAAAATACTTCACGGATAGCTTGGGGAGCATGAAGAGGAGGTTCTCACCATAATTGCAAGGCTCCAAGAACGATTTGGTAAATTCTTTCCATATCTTAAGTCGTTCATATTTTGCTTAAAAATTCAATTGGTATGCATTTGTGATTGTTTTGGACCCATTCCCAACCCAGCTACCATCCTCCACCATCCGACTCTCAATAGGCCGGCTATGCCTCTCTCCAAGCATCGAGGACGATGTTATATTTTAAGCTTGGGGAGGGGTATCCATCCATGCATAAATCCCGTTGCATGTAGGTTGCATTAATTTTGTACATATTGCATTAATTTTTATTTTCTTGTTCATTTTTCTGCATAGAAAATTTTTCAAAAACCAAAAAGATTTTCTTTCTATTCTAATTTTTATTATTTTCTTTGCATTTTGTTTGCATCCAAATTTTTGCATTGCATTCTTTGAAGAAAAAAAAAACAATTGATCCAATCCCAAGCAACCGAATCTTTTCAAAACAGATGAGCTGGTAAATGAGTCATGTGCCTTGAAATTGGCTTGCTCTTTTTATTGAAAAATCTAAAAGCAAGTTAATCACACACGAACACACCTCCCGAAGCTACTTGTGCAAAACAGAAAGTGAGAAGATTGTCAACATTGGAGCATAACAGCAGGTATGAGTTAATTCTTTGGGACATATGACTGGTCTTATGAGTAGTAAATGCTCAATTAAACTCAAAATGCCAAATTCAAAAATTCATAAAAAGAATACAAAATTTCAGTGTCCCGAGCCTTCCAGCGCTCTAAAAAGTCTTTTCTACTCATTCCCTTTTATATACCCTGCTTGGGGACATATTTCCAACTATACCTACGGGTCCTTGCATGTTAACTTCAGTCCCCCGAAAAATGTCTAGAAGCCCTCACGGTAATAGACCGTGAGATGTCCCACAATAGAAAAGTCAAGGACGAAAATATAAAGAAATTGGCCAAATAAATAAATAAATTAATAAGAGTGTTATGTGTTAACTTAGTTATTTGTATTTGTGTTACTTAAAAAAAAACTATTATTAAGTTAATCTGTGACCTTTGGGATTCGAACAAGTAAACTCTGATGGGTGTTTTACATCTAATCGCCTAAAGCTAAATTGTTTGGGACTGATTGAGTTGAAAATTCGTTACATGGGTCCATAGAAAGTCATGAACTTAATAATAGCAAATAAAGCTAATCTGTGGCCTTTGAGGTTCGGGCAAGTAAACCCGAGGGATCCTTTTAAATCTAGCACACTAAGGTCATTTGATCTGGATGTGTTGGTTGGAAGCCCGTTACACGGATTTCAAAGAAAGCCATGAGCTTTATTTGTAAAAAAATGTAATTAGGAAGTTTGTATATAGTTGTGTTTATAGTTTAATTGAATATTATGTTTAGGAAAAATACTTGGCTGTCAAAAGATTCCCTTGGACTTGGATTTGAATTTATGACATTGGACTGAATGTTAATTACTTTGACTGGTGTAAGTGGTTTGAAGTTTGTAACCAATCTGGATAAATATTAGGGAATTTTTAGAAAAGATTTTTCAGAAAAAGATTGTTGTTGATCAACAAATAGCTGGAATCGGGCATTGTTATATTTTATGAAACAAAGATGGTTGAGCATGTTTTGTCACATATAATTTCACGAGAGTAAGACCATAATTTGTTCCAAGAATTGACTTGATGATATTGAAAGGGAATTAGTGTTGTGATCTTTGATTCTGTTGAGTTGTATTAGGGAGTGGCCAAAGTCTTATTTCTATTATCATATAATATTTTGAAACTAAAGCCAAGTTGACTCAAGGCATGACAGGTACATTCTCAACTATGGTACAAAACAGGGTTAATTGGGTTGGATATATTTTTTCATGTTTGTTTTGATTTCTTGCATCAAATTTCAAAAAAAAAAAAAAAAAAAAAGTTTAACTTTGATTTTCTTTTCTTCTCTTTTATTTTATTTTCTCCGGTTTAAATTTTCTTGTTCTTTCTTGAGGACAAGAAAGGTTTAAGCTTGGGGAGATTACAATTTGTTAGGGCGTGTCAAACCCAACAAATAAAGGGTACAAATGACTCCTTAAACACTACTACTATGCACTAAAAACGTAGTACAAGGTAAGTAGGGTCGATCCACAGAGACACGGGACAAGTGTTTATACCTTTTTGCGTAAGGTACAAAAATGGTCACAGAATGGGGAGAATTTATAAGCAATGATTTAAACTATAGAATAAAGCAATAAGTAAATGATTGATTAAGTGAAATAAGTTCAAGATTTGTAAGTACTCCAACTCTATGCAAGACAAATTAGCAATGTGATTCCATGGATGACAAGATATTTGTTTAATTCTATCTAAGTTGGTACTTGAAAGTGTTAACAAGCTCTAACACTTCCCATTCACCACAATAATTAACCAAAACAAGCTCTTTGATTAATCCTAACCTTACCAATCTAATCTAAACAAACTCTTAGAATTAGGTTGAAAGATTGCATTAAACTTTATGTGAATGTTCCCAACAACACTCAATACTCCTCATAAGCTCGGGAGCATAAGAATGTGTGAATAAGATTTACACTAAATTCATTCAATAGAAATCAGTTTAGTGCTTGTTACCTAGTCCAATTTACAAAACAATTACGGATTTTGCAATTAGATAACTTGAATGATCTAACCCTAATTCAAATGGCCAATAAGAATCACAATTAGAATCAAACATTCGATTGAAACAAAATCAAATTCACTAGATAGAAAATTGAAAGAAAACATCAAGTCATATGATTGAAATCACAACTAGAAGTCAAGACATAAAGTTGGAGAATCTAGGGTTCTAGCCACTCATGACTAGAACAAGATCACAAATCTAGAAAATGAAATTAAAGTTCTTACAAAATGAAATCAAATGTTCCCAAGTGTTAATCTACTTCCAAAAGCTCTGAAAATCGCCTTCTCTCTGCCCAAAAGTCGACCCCCCAAAGTAAAAAGTCAGTTCCCCCCTTTAAAAATGGTGAAAAACTGCTTTAAAACCCGCATTTACGTTTACACGCCCCGCGTAAATTAACACTGTCATTTACACGGCCCGCGTAAACGCAAAAATATACTGTGCAGAAATCTACGTTTACACGGCCCGTGTAAACGCAAGGCTTGCATTTACACGGCCGTGTAAATCTCTGTAAAGCCAAAAT